AACAATAGTAGAACAGATTAAAAAAGAACACTATTTGGCTTGTAATATAGCATGCCATAATATTAATGGGCTTAAAGACAATTCACAAAAGTTTGATTTATTTATAGATTGGACAATAAAAAACATATATGATATAGTGGGAAACAAACATTTCAGAAAAAGAAGGGTTTTTTCTAAGCAAGCCATTCAAAGGTTATCATATAATATGGTCAAGTGCTTGTCAAAAAAAGAAAAAAGGTTCAGGTGTAGGTCTTATAATATCAGAAAGATGAAAAAAACATTTAGGGTTTATTTAGAGATTTGATAAATTCAGTTTGGCAGCAAGCTTTCTTTTTAAGCAACTAGAAGTAGTCATTATAGTACTATATATATCACCGAATAATAATAGCAAAAAACAAGTCATAAAGAGAAATATTATAGAAAAATTCATAAAAAGATCACCTAACTCACACTTTGCTATTATGGGAGATTTTAATGTAATCATTGATTAGGATCTTGATAAGACTCCACTATTACAAGGCAAAAAGCTAAAAATAGATCCATTGTATAATTGGCTAATTAAACAAAATTTTGCAGATACCTTTCGAGTATTAAACCCAATAGCATCTAAGTTTACTTGGTCAAATGGCTATACAAAAACACAAATTGACCAAATTTGGGGTTCAGAAATGCTAATAGGTAGTTTACAGATAGCCAATATTATAGATATATCTATATGCACAGAGAGTGATCATAATAGTATTGATGTGTTATTGGAACTTAGCTCTTTTACATCAAAAGCTAGCTTAGCGAGTGCCAAAAGAAAGAGTTAAAAAAAAACAATTTTTCTATATGATGAGCAAATGAAGATGACTGGGAGAACTATAGAGCAGAATTAGATAAAATGCTTAAAAACAAAGAGACAGCTTTTCAGAAACTAAGTTTAGCAACAAGAAATAAAACACTAGTATTGGATAACCTGAATAAGTGCTGGAGTGTTCTAGAAAGAAGTATTATAGAAGCGGTAAATAAAGCTATCTCAAAGAAAAAACTCCCTAACATAGAACATATCAAAAGGCAAGAAGTAAGATGATCTAGACTGCACAAAGTAGTAGTAACACTCAGTAGATGGTTATGGAAAGTTAAAAGAAAAATCAACACAATGCTAGACTTAGAAGAAAAGGAATCATTTAATCGAGAGATAAGGAAAATCAATAAAAAGTTCCAAATAGATATCCAGAAAGTTAAAGATAAATAGTCTGAGGACTCATTAAAAAATTTTAAGGGTTGGTGGAAAATCCTTAAAGAAAAGAACCAAAGAGAATTAGAGGCTATAATACAAAAAGAGATAACCAAGAAAATTAATATGAAATATAAAATGATACACAATACCCAAGGAAAAATGATAGCAAGTCTCTTAAACAAACCTTTAAAGAAAATTAAGCTAGAAAAGTTGATCGTAAAAGAGAGCTTGTATCATACCTTAATCTCTGAGAAAAAACAAGTCTTGGAAAAAACACGAGATTACTTCCAAGTACAGTTTAGGCAAAGAAATATAGCAAACACTCTAGAGAATGATATCTGAAAAAAGATTTATAGTCTACAGAAGCATATTCAAGAAGATTGATATGATGATTTAGATAAAGAAGTTGCAGCCGAAGAGTAGGAGGATATGCTTTGTAGCCTCAGAAGAAAGTTTGCACCAGGGTTATCTGGAATCACCTATATCTTAATTAAAGCTGCAAGTATCAGCATGTATAGCTGCAGGGACCATGCCAAAAAGATGGAAAATTGCAATGATTTATCTAATACCGAAAGATTATGATTGGAATTATTCATTAGCAAACATGCGGCCAATAGCACTACTAGAGTCCTTTAGGAAATATATGACAAGAATATATACAAAAGGACTTACAAATATTCTAATTAAGCGAAGCATTCTTAGAGGGCCAAATTTCACGGGTCTTCCAAGCAATTCAACAAAAAGCCCTATTTATATTCTAAATTTGATTATAGAAGATGCACATACCAAGAAGAATGAGCTTTGGATTTTGCTACAAGATATGCAAAAGGCTTTTGACTTAGTATCACTTAAAATGCTTAAGTTAGTGCTTTTATGACTTAAGTTCCCTCTAAAAGAAGCAGAGTTTATCTTATAACTTTTCCATAACCAAGAAGCAAGTATCATAACGGAATTTGGAAATACTAATGTATTTGTAGTACCTGATAGCATAGACCAAGAAGAGGTAATCTCTCCAATTCTGTGGAGGATCTTCTATAACCCCTTGATTGAAAAAATACAAAGTGATCCAAATCTAGGTTACATAATAGAAATAAAAACGCCCTCAGAAGTAAGCTCGAACCAGATATATAAACAAAGTTAGAGACAAGCAGTATTGGCTGATGCAGATGACACAACTAGGATAGCGAAAGACAAGTCCCAAATGGAAAAAATTATTCATATAGCAGAGGAATTCTTCCAAATAAATGATATTCAAATAAACAGTAGCAAATCCAAGCTTGTTATCTTTAATTCAAGGTTAAATAAGACATTAAGAGTGTTTAAGTTTGGCAGAGAGGAGATTAAGAAAGAAAATAAGAATCAGATAAGCAGATTTCTAGGGTTTGGATAAATAGTCAACTAAAAGACTCCTACATTAAAGCAAAAGCAAAAGGAATAGTTAGAAGAACAGTTTTAAATCTTGCTTCAAAAAAGCTAACATTAAGTCAACTCTTATACCTCAATAATATTTGTATAATTTCCAAACTTTGCTATATGCTACAAATTTCTCGTCTATCTAAAGAGGCACTCAAAGAAATTCATAGACCAATGCTTAAACTAATTAAGAATAAAATGGAGCTTCAAATCTCAACTGAGAATTTTATACTTAAACACAAGAGCCTGGGAAACTGTCAAGCTCTCGATGAAGAATTATTTGCTAAACAAACTCTTAGCCTACTCAAGTGATTAAATAGTGTAGGCGCAGAACTATTAACAACAAGTATAAGACTTAAACAAAGACTTGTCAATGCATGAATAGTGAATACCCAAAGAGATCTAATGAAAATTAATAATATTAAATCTATATGGAAACATAATTTATCTTGTTTAGTTCTTCTATGAGCATCAGAGCTTGATTTGTTTTTTGATCTTTCAAAAGAGTTAGAACAAATGAATCTACTAGGGCAACCTCTTAATTTCCTTCTGGACCAGCAATTTAATATGAAATCTGCAAAAGCTCTCAAAACTTTAACCTTTATACAACATGTCAGCTAATTAATGAAGAAGGTAACAAGCTTATTCCATGGTCATAGCTTAAGCTTTGTAGAAAAAGATCAAGAAAAGGCAGAAAACTAAATTGGTTTGAGCATCTGGAAAATCTGCTTCTTGAGGATACACAAAGTAGATACATTAAAAAAGAATTCTGTTTAGAGAACAACAAAATCTGGACAATTAAGTATAT